CTAGCGCAGTCATTACATTCTAATAAAAGCTACGATATCTGCTCATTTTCTCATCAAAATATTATGCGGATTCATAAATTTAAGTATTTGAAATGGTTTGAAAAGTTGGAATTCATGTGTATATTTTGCATTGTTCTTGACCAGTAATCAACTCACTTTGCAGAGAATGCTCTCATATAATCTTACAAATTTCGCATTTTCAAAAGGGTTTAACTAAATACAGTACTCAAACGCTACTGAGTCTTTTCAGATACAGCCAGCATGCCAATGTGGAAATTGTTTAATGCTTTCATATACTGATTTCAAAATCAAGTTTGCTTAGGAAATTGGTGGAAAATGCTTTCATTAATTTTATTTCCAAAGCCTTTTATTGAAATTGAAGGGTGAAGCAAAATGTTGAAGTATATCCACTTGACTAATGAGTGTTTCAACTAGCAGTCTGGAAATTAAAAGATGCAATTTATTAATTTCTAAATGCATCCAAACTAGTTGGTAGTTCTACATATCCAGAAAAGCAGGAGTTAATATCACAGCTCAAGTCTTTGTTACTGGAAAATCCACATTTGCGTCTTCCTCTACTATCAGACAAATGTAAATTAGTCCGTGGCATAGAATATTACAAAATTTCAGACAAATTAACACTTAGCTCAGGAAAAATTAATTCCCACTTACAATGTCAACTGACTTTAAATGAAAGAAACGTTTCAAAATGTCAAAACAAAAGTGATTCGAGTGGACAGTCACCACCCTGCCATTCAAAAACTGTAAAACTTCAGAAATCTCCTTTGCTTCATTAGCGTTAATCTTAGATTTAATCATTAGACTTGATAATAAGTACTACTAGATTAATTATCGTGTGTGAGTACACTGGAAATGGATGTTAAATTGTGCCTTTCAGAAACGAAATATAGTCTTTAATAGTATTTTCACAATCCCGTAGATCTTTAGCAGAGAAAAATCGAGCATCTTAAACAGTGAAGAATGATATGATAGCTGTGCGGCAGTGGGCTGAAGAACCATTTCATTTATCTTTCATGCTGTTTTCACCAATTATTTTTTTATTAGTTTCTTTGGCCACTTCTAACACCTGTTGGCTGAGCACGCGATACCTCTCTCATATTTAGTTGATTCCTACCTTTATCAACAAGGGGTGAGCGATAGACTTACCTCCACGTGGTGCACCCTGGGCAACATATACTCATACGGCAAAAAAGTCTATTAACCGGCAATTGACTTCTGACTACAAACTACCACGACCCTCCTGGTTGTCATATTCAATCCCTCTCACAGTACTCACCTTACCTTTTTCTCTACCTTTGGGTCTGTCTGCCTCTTTTACATCTGTGAATCGCTCTTCTCTTCCCCACCCCTCGACTTTCTGCTACTTTGATGAACCTTCCCTCTGTGAAGCCCGAAGTAAGCTAAATGGCTAATGATATCTATCAAAACGCCTACCATTTGAAATAAATAAACTTTTATCAACAAAATCATTTCAGAATTGCATCCTGACTACCACCCTTTCTCTCCCTCTCCCTCTCTTCTATGAAAGCTGTGCCATGACAAATATCTTTTGAAGATTGTCGATTTAGTGAGTCATCATTTCATATCAGTTATTTTCATTGATTAGCTAATCCAATATGATCAGCATTAAAACTATAAAAACCATCTGATTTTCTTTATAAAAATCACCTACTGTGTAACTCATCTCCAGAGATGCTGCTACATAATCTCCCTAATTATCTCATGACAATAATAACAAGCCGCTTGAAAACAAAGTGTCCTACATTTATTAGTCAACAACTTAAAAGGGTAAATATTCTACCAAAAAACAATTCATCACTGTTTAGTGAAAGTTTAAAAGTATTTTCACGAAGCAAAGTACAAAAAGATGTTACTGAGTAAATCATTTCATTAAAGTATCGAATCCAACGTCAACGTTAGAGGTAAGGTATGACTACCTTCCCTTTTAGTTCTATCCACAAATCTAACTCTTTGAGTCCGTATATATCGTTGAGTTTGTGAAATAGTAATTTCTCTCTTCTTGAGGTTTCCCATCTGGTTATCGTTTCCAAAATAAATGCCAAATGGATGCTTGAAATAGTGGATTTAAGTGATATTTTAGTGAACCCAGGTTAGGACTTCTATCTGTCCTTAAATAACAAAGGTTTTGCTCTAATTTTCAACTATACATGCTGTGGAACATTTAAGCACTCAAGTCTGTTTTATTATCTAAATATTGCGTAGGATGTTGATTAAATGTACGGCATAAGGTAAAGAGATACGTAGCTTAAAATCGATCGAATACATTGGCTCATTTATTGTTGTGGTACTCTTCAAGATTAGAATCTACCGACAACTTCAAAAGAACTATGAGCTTATGCACAATTTTCGAAAAAAGGGTGATATCTTGAGGTAACTGTGTTGTAGACGCATTTTTAACAAAATTTATTTCTTGGGAAAACGACAAAGAAAGGAGAGAACGAAGTCAATTCAAAGCGTTTTTGGGTCTCATGTAACTGTTTAAGGAGAACGCACCAGATTACCACTTCTATCTTTCATCAGCTTTGTGTGCGAAAGCATCAATTTGACTCTAAAATTGGAGAAAAATTTTATCTAAGCAATGTGAGGTTAATTGCTTGTAAACACCACAATTAGCGTGAATGAGGCTTCCAGACGTGCAATATACTTATTTAACATAGAGCGATTTTATGTTAAACCGATGTGAGCAATATCACACATTTGGTCCTTCAGAAGGAAACGTTTTTGCTATATGATAACCATCAACAGACTTATAACGCCGCAGTGCAATATTATAAAATTGGTGCGTTTGGGCGTATGCTTTATTATTTGATAAGCCGAATTTTAACGGGGGTTTAGATCAAGGAAATTGAAAATGAATTTAAACTTTTGCTTTAAAAACTTGGCATCTACGACATTTCTTCCACTTTCCTCGTATGATATGCTTCATGAACCGTTACTTTTAAAGCAACAGTCTCAAAAAGGCAAAGGCCCTATGTAGATTTGTCAATTTCATAACTTATGCATATTTCACTACTGAAATCACCTAATATAACCTGATTCTAAATTTCTGTAAAATCGGAGAAGAAACTGAACACCCTCTTCCCAATCCGTCTGAAGGCGTAGATGTGGTGAGATTGAATTGACCAAACCCTCGCTTTGTTACCGTAATCAATCAGCTAGGATATACCTATGAACAAGAAATATCCCTCATGAGATCGAGAATCAAACAGTCAGGTTCAAAATTCGGAAAATTAGGTCAAACCAATCACTCAAGTTATGAGCATATAGCCTGTTTAATCCTTAATTGGTTTTCTTATCTCCTGCAATCTCAAATTTAATACTCTCCATAATTCATGCCTTATTTGGATTGTTCTTTGCACAGATATTTCGAATTAATAAATAAATAAATACACTGTCCTGACAACTACAGATTGATTACATATTGGTCAAAAGGCTATCAAGTTATTAGGAGAGAATATAGTTTAGATCTGTCTTGATTCCAATCAATCCTGTGACAAGTTGCATGAAACAAAAAACATTTAAGTCAAAGTGTTTCATTTCTATTTCATATATACGAATGTAGTATTCGAAGCACACTTACGCTGCTATGACTATCCCAGGTTAAAGTTTTAAGATCAAAATATGGTTTTCTTTCCTTAAATTGTTTATAATTCCAAATCCCCTAGGGAACACTGTTTCCAAAACTCATCTATGGTGGGAAGTTGAAACATGCAGCCTGGTGTGAAGCTCGAATTCTCCAATCCTCATTTAAACAGGCCACCTTTTACCTTTCGGTCCCATGCGAGAGAACGAATCATTAAATTATTTTGATTTGAGGCAAATTTTAGCAAAAGTAAGATCTAGGGAAACATTATAAAAACTGATGCTTTTAGGGAAACAATCCAATTATACAAAAGCAAATTGAAGATGTGGTTACTTTCCAATATATCTTTGAGTCTGAACAGCTCATACTGTTATGTCGCATTTCAAAGTAGAACAAAAGTTAAGGTGTAGACCTACCTAAATAACCTGGACCAAAATTAATCTCTAAAGGGACATCACAGTCATTGTCAAAATGGGAAGATCAAGAGGTAATTTGGGCATATGTAAGTAAATGAGGCCGGGGGGAAGGAATAAAATAAGGCATTAGAAAGTGATAGAAAGAACAAAGCATTAATAGTGAGTGGGTGGAATCTTGGTTGTTATAGAAGGCGGGAATTTAGGTACTATGAGAATTCCAACGGGAAATCGATGAAAGTCATCGACTGACAGGTAAGACAGGCAGAGTTTTAGAACCCTAGTTTCTCATTACATTTATGTGAGTTAGCTTTTGTTTCGGTTTAAAATCGTGACAGTAAATATTTGCACATCAGTTTATGCTTTTCATCTATTAACTCTCTAATTACTAAGAAGACAAAATTAAAATTTGTCACAATATCGATACAATGCGCTAAGTTTATGTGATAAAAGTGTAAATTCACTACTCTTCATTATTTTACTATTTTCGTATTTTCCTAATAAAGTAGTCCATGAAAATTGTTTTCTGTACCATAAGTGATAGAAATAGAACATACGAAGGTCCCCTAATATACCATTTGCCATTATTTGGCGGCCTCAATTCTATGTCTCAGGATCCCGCCATCGTAAACGAGTCTTTGAAAGTTATTAGAAATGGAGTTCCCTTAATTCAGTTCAATCGACCTGTCACCAAACACCAATTATACGGACATGAACTCAATCATAACCTCATGGTCAAATTATGAAATATGAAAGTGAATTACATCACACCTGAGAAACAAAACGACTCAGTGTATCTCTAATTTAGATAAAATACGACTCTTAGCATTCCGACTTTATTACATATTCATTTTTTACTCTCATTCTGTCTCTTGCCAGTTTTTTAGCACTTTTAGATGACTAAATGCCGCTTCACAATACAGGTTTATATATTTTTTACATTGTCCAAGAAAATAATATAATTATCTAACCTTGAGTTGTTCTGTGAGCTGATTTTCATAACGTAGTTCATTTTGTCTCTTATTTTCGGCAGCAATTTTCTCCTCTTGAAATTTCTTTTTCATCTTCTCTGCAGACTCCTGTAAGGCCTTGACCTTCTGCTTGAGAATATCAATATCTTCCTCTAGAGATTTAACCTATTCAATGGAGTTGTAGATTTCTCATAAAAAATATTGAAGCGCTTATATAGGTGATTAAAAATATATTTCAGGGATTAGGAGTGTGTGATAGACTTACCTTCACGTGGTGCACCCTGGACAACATATACTCATACGGCAAAAAGGTCTGTTATCTAGCAGTTGACTTCTGACTTCAAACTGCCATGACCCCACTGTATGCCATTTTCGACTACTTCCACAGTACTCACCTCACCTTTTTTACCTTTATGTCTCTCTCTTTACGTCTTTGAAACACTCTTCTGTTCCACCTTCCCCCCCCCCCCTCTCGACTTTTTCACTTTGATTTTCACCTTTGTGAAGCTTGAAGTCAACTAAAGGGCTAATGATAACCATCAAAACGCCTGCCATTTCATATAATAATAATTTTTTAGGGATGATTCTAAATAAACAGTCCTTAAAACGACTTTAATTCAGGTTATTGATTTAGTTGACTAATGGTATTACCATTGAGATTTGATGTGGATTTATATATGAGGAATTGGGGTGTGCGGTAGACTTGCCTCCACGTGTGATAATCGCTATCTTCTTTTATTTAACTAATTTGACGATAGTAAATGCTCACATGAAAACCGAAACACTGTTCAAGTTATGGTTAATATATGACTTTAATGGAATTTTATGTATCTTGAATACTGAAGATAACTGAAGGAATGGGATAAATGTCATTGTTCGAGTTGCTGAGAAGCATTTCTTTTGAAGAAAGGGGCCCTTCTCGCTGGTATTTCCCCTCTACTCCCATTTCATTGAAAATTTCTATTTATCGCTTTAATTTTGAGGTATAACTGATAACCATACCAGTTAAATAGCGTGCATGATTATAAAAGTGCACTTCTCGTCATCCTCTATTTCCAACTGATCTACAAAGTAGCTGTCACCTCATATTTACAACTATTTTAAGTATCAAAATAAGTAAGATTCAAAAGTCGTCTATTTTTGCAAGGATGGCGCAATTCCCATACAACAAATCATTAGACCCTTAAGTCAAGTTCCTTTCAATTATTGTAAATATTGCCTACTAATTAATGGACACTTTCCCCCTCATTTTGCTACTATCTTTCACAGCTATGCTGATTTCGTTCAATTGAATTTATCGCAGATATAATGTTTAACAATTTAATAATAGTGCTTATTTAAGAATGAAATAAACAAAGGGTCATTTAATTTACAAACGCATCTTCTCACCTTCTCAAGTTGAAAATTCTTTGTGTATGCTGCCTGAAGATTCTTTCTACACAAGAATGCTTCATTATGTTTTAAAAGTATTTTATAAGCTTCAAAATACTTATAATGTTCTTCCAGTACTTGTTTGAACAGCATTCCTCTCTCTGGACATTCAATAATTAGCTTAAATGAAAGGAAATCGAACTTAAGCTATAAGCGTTACCTGACGAAGTAATTCACTACAAAGACCATAAAGTATTTCTTCGCGAATACTACAGATAGGAGAATCCTTAGCAGCCCTCTGTATAAGAGCCATTTTAATATCGTTTCTTAATGCAACCAATTCAAGAGGAGACGACTGTGTTTCTCGAACAAAGGAAGCATACAGGTCATCACCCGTTTTTGTAATTCGAACAGGAAACTCCTCATAAAGAAATTCTTGTGTCTTTTCGTCAATTGACTTGAAAGCCATCATTTTGCAGAAATCAGGAGGGAGATCACATTTAGAAACTTTCCCTTCATTCTAATAAATTAAAGCATTGCATTTAATTTAAATAACTAATTGAGTAATTTAATGTTATTGGAATTTAACAAATCTCACGATAAGTTCGTAGGTCTTCGTCAACTTGATCGGGTCGGAATATTTTACAAATCCATCATGTGAGTTATTCCCTACATTGCTACTTTAAAAATTGATGTTAGATAGAAAATACATGATTATCAAATCAAAAAGACTTCCGATTTGACGAACAAATTGTTAAAATAAACTAATTGTATATTTAAAAACAAACCATACATATCACTTTTCTCGCAAAAAGGGATCATAATGTAGAAGAAGGCTGTCTACTCTAATAACAAAAAAAATAATAAAAGCTTTAAAATTATGTGACCTTTGCTCAATTATATAAACAATTTCAAGAGTGTAAGAATTTGCATGGATTATCAACTTTAATAATAAGTGCAAATAACTGCATTCAATAAGAATTAGATTAATGAGTGAAAACGCGAATAGTACATATTTCGAGCTATTGAACGAAAGCATATAACATTATTTAAAAATAAACCAGTAAACCAAAACAAATTAACAATAATAGAGTTATGGGTCATTTTCTATCAAATGAAGAAGAATTGCTGTGAACTTATTTTTAAAATGTTAAGCATCTTAAAGTAAAGTTGCGGTAGGTTTACAGAGATATTTTTTAGAATGGATAGATAATATAGAGAAAAATGAATATACATTAATTATACTAACGAAAAAATAATGGCTTGTGTTCTGCCAATTCTTTTGAAATATCATTACAAAATGGGCATTTTATTTTGAACACCCATTGTCATTTGTAATTTAAAGTTTCACTAAATTTTAACTGCACACATAGTCCTTTGTGGGACACGTTATCGTATTGTGCGTCATCGTATGCCTGCATGCCAGGATTGGGAGGTGCTGCCGTACAACTCTGTGTGCAGCGACCGTACAAACAGTGACCAATCATCAATCTCTGTTTGCTTAACCTAATCATCCATCCTGATCATTATTAGGTCCCCTGCGTGTACACTTTATCCGCAATATCCGTACTGAATAAACGTGCACCGTGCTACGCGTCTATTTCCTTCATAACTGGGCTATAGCTTTACTTGTTCTGGGAGTCTAGCTTGATGTAGGAGAATCTGACATAGAGGTTTCTTAGTCGGTCAGGCTTTACTAGCGTAGCAATTCGCTACAAATTTTCATTTACTACCGTTCCAAGAAGTTAAGAAGAGATTTTGTGTAAAAGAAATAGTATTTTTTTGGAAATCAGTTTAATTTCATTATTGCCGTAGTTTCAACAATTATTCCATTAATTTAACATGCCGGCTAAACCTATCCGAATATAAAATACAAGACACATATCAGCTGTGTTGAAAATATTTCAAAACTGATTAAAGAGAACAAAAATGAAAATCTTTCAAATATTTAAACCTATTTTATATACAAAGCGCTCTTATAGTAATCTATGAAATTAATTTATCATAATTTTAGACATTTCAGTTGCCCAGATGGGAAAAATCGAAGATCCGTTTTAGTTACTTGAATTTTGCACATAATGAGACCCATAAAATAGAAAAATATCTCCATCCATCTGAAAGGTCAACATAAAATTATCAGGTAAGCTTATAATTAAAAGAGCAAAACGTAATAAAATTTTGGAAAAAGACTTAGTGTCGCCTTGACAAGCATCAGCATATCATATAACGCCAATATTTTAATGAATAAGTGTCTGAAATATTATTTCCGTCGATTGAATAAAAAATAAACTTCATAATTTTAACAACTATTATATGTTAAAAACGTCAGAAAGAGAAGCACTTTCATATTTTTACAACTGCTTAGTTAACTGTCCGTCGAAATTTAAATTATTAATATTAACTTTACGAGTAAAGTCGCGTGATTTTCCCATCATATTAAATATCTCCTAACGGCTGGTTTCACTAAAGCGGTGATTTTTTTATTAAAATACGTGAGGTTGCTTTGATTTCAGCAGACGCAGTATGCATTTTTTCTATTCACAACGATAAATACCAGAACACAGGTTTTCTATAGAGTTTGTTATGTTATGCACAAAATAATAACAGAAATCTAATCATCACTTGAGACATCTGGCGATGAATTTTCCGCGTCTAAATTTAATATGTAATTTGATAAATTGAGTTAATCATACCATATATAGCGAAACGATTCGTAAAATATCATTGACCTTATGCAACTAAAAATAGGCATGAATTTAATTAACTCATAAATTTACCTCCATAAGATTGTATCTACTCGCTAAAACGAACTTTATACCAATAATTATATAATCAATCTTAAATACAGATAATATGAAAACAGTTCATTTCAATGCTTATCGAACATTATAGTTTTTCCTTAAACTTAACTTTTATTTGTCGGCATAACCAGAATAGATAAAAATAATTTATTTTGAGGTTTGTTTAACTTAACTTAATTTTCGCCGACTGTTACGCTTCGCTAATCATGGTAAGTGTGCCGGCCTGTCTCTCATTTTAACTTGTAAATAAATTTTTTAATAAACTCTCTTGTGCTGCTTTTAGGAGCACATACCTGCTTTACCAGAAGCAAATGCCTTTGGCTTGCTAAAACTCAAATCTGGGAAAAAGACTAAACAACAGAAACTATTGAAACGTTTACAAGTTGAGGCTTCACCTATCGAAGCACCCAATGAATTGCGTGATGAAAAGGCCAATCGTCGCCTCAAATTCAATCTCGACAGAGAACGTCTCAACCTATGGAAGGGTCCAGTTCACCAAAACCGTTTGGCTGACCAACTTATTTTCCCACTTCAGAGTAAAGCTATCCAGTTCTCCACAGCGGAGGATGCTAGAGAGGCGAAACATATTAATGCAATAGAGTCTGCTAAGAAGAATGAGAATTCTCTTCAGGCTAAGCTCTTTGGCGCTCTTTATAAAGATACGGTTGCGCCGTGAGTATATTGCTTTTATGCCCTGTCCGATCATTAACCTCTTTATTTATTATAAGTTTTCTTACAGATTGACAGATGCCGATAAGGAAATTCAATCGCAGCTCGAACTGGCTAAAAAGATGTCTCTAAAGGCTAAAGATCAAATGCGACAGCGTTTACGTGAAGTTGCTTTACTTAGCAAAGCCAAACAGCAAAAGAAGATTAAAAGCAAAAATTACCATCGTCGTGCAAAGCGTCGTAACATGAAGGAATTTGAGAAAAATATTGCTTTGTTAAGGCAGAACGATCCAAAGGCCTTTGCAGAACGCCTACTAGAAGCTGATCGTATGCGAGCCAAGGAAAGAGCCTCTCTCCGTCACAGAACAGGAGGCAAGTTCGCTCGAATGCAAAAGTTGCGCGCCAAATACGATGATGAGGCAAGGGAAGCTGTGGCCGCTATGCATGATCAGGGTCGAGATTTGAAAAGAAAGATTCGTGGTGAATATGATAGTGACGAGGAATCGGTTCTCTCAGAGTTGGATATTAGTTCATCGGAGAGCGAGTCGGAAAGCGATTCTGAGAAATCTAATTTTGATGTCGACTCTGATGGTGAAGGAGGAGAAGAAGAGATGCCTTCACATTTGGCCAGCTGGTGGGCGAAGGTATTGTATTTATCTAGCTTTTCTTATAGTTACTATACTCTATTTTCTAAGTTTTTTTTATTTGGATATTACTTCTTATGTCTCGTTCAGCCAAGTCTGTTTCATTTGATTTCAATTTTCTCAACGTGACCCTTTGGCCTTGCTTGGTACAATACGTTTTAAATAATTTTACGTATTCATTGGTTAAGGTGTTTGACTGTGTGCCTTTGCTTCATCCGTTGGATAGCGTAATTACTTGAAATGCACGATTATTTGTCCATTTCCAACCTAGAGTTTCAGAATAGTGCTCATTCGCTTGCAGTGAAGTTTGGAAGCAGGCTTTAACCTGCCTTAATGTTTAATAAATCGTATTAGCTTAAAGCAAAGTTTAAGTCAGTTATCGAAGATATGGTCTTTAATAATTTATTCTTCACACATGGGTAATTTTTAATCACATTTTTAAATGTTTGGAGTATCGTATTTTGGTTTTGTTTTTTAATTGCTTCGTTTTATTACTCTTTTACTGTCTTTTTTACATTGTTCACAAGACTATCAGTTGCTTAATGCATTCTCTCTCAAACATTATGAACATTACTGATTATTTTTAAGTAGCAGTTCTTGTTTGACGTTTTGTCTACTGTGCTACAGTTTATCTTTCCATATTCTGCTCATATTCTGATGATGAAAATACCAAGCCGTAGTTATTTGAGTTTGTAATTATGTATTATAGTGACAAGGGATTTTTATGAGATTATTTTAAATATCGAAGTCACTTGCCACGACTGCATCATGCATTATGTCATCCTAACTAGGTGGTGCTTAGCTATAATTATTATGTGTAAGAATGGGTTGGCGGATTAGTTCCATTAGATCAAGAAAATTAACTTTTACCACTTCAAAAAATTGTCATAATTTTTTCATAAAATTATCTATTCCATAAACTTATATCGAATCCATTGTCAGAGTCGATGGCATTCTAATGTAATGTTATAATCGCCTTTGTCTTTTATAAAACTCAAAATAGTCTCGCGTTATACATTTGAAAACCTTATTGGCCACTATATTGCTGTCGATCGTTTAAAAGTGGGTGTATGACCAATTTGTATCCAATGTTGAGTTTTCAAGTAATATTTAATACTACTGCCACATTTCAGTAACTAGCAAACGACTCTTCATTGTTTCAGGTTTATTCATGCCTCATCGTTCAAACATTTAGTTGTTTGCCTTTTGCATACAGGTTTAAATTCCTTTTTATCTTCATGTTCATATGTTGTTTCTAAGTTGTCAGATGTCAGAAGAAGAAAATCGACACCTGAAATAGCATTTAGTCAGTATAACCTGATTATTACAGCTTTGATTCCTCAATTGACGCATTCATTTAAGGGGGTTTAAATGCGGAAAATATTTTTTAAGTGCATCCAAAATTGAACAAAGAGCATCTCGAGTATACACTGAATTGTTAATCACTTAAACTGGTCTGCAAATGGGTATTTTTCTCCGTTTTGTATAGGAATCCTTACTTTTATTTCTAGAATTAGCTTCTTTGTCACTAACACACTTCCGCCCTAATTGAGGCTAATTAATCATACATAGCATTTTTTTGGGGAAATGCCTTACACTTCCCAAATTGCTGATTTTATTGTGGTAGCATCACGTCTTCCCTAATTATTTAGACTTTTCTCTTCACGTTAATCTCACCTGCTACGTACATAAACTTTTTGAAGTAGTGAAGCAATTATAACTAGGGGAAAATTAGTTATTGACGTTTGCCGCTGAGATTTTTAATATTTTGTTTGCTTCCAGTGGTTTCAAAACGAATTTCTCTGATGATGTAGCGTTTTATTGGGGGCTAATGTAAAAGTATTGCATTAAATCACTTCATTTTGTGATTTGATTTCTACGGTTGAAAATTGACTGGCGCTCTGTTTATTCTGATACGTTTGGTGTTTCTTTAGAATGGACGTTTTTTGTTTTCTTTTCAATCGAAGTTCGTTACTTCAGGCATGCATTAATACTCAATTATCTCCGAGTCCCTTTCCAGTACTTCCCCTTTAGCAGAAGATTTTCTACTGATTATAATTGATAAAATGTTACTATCAGTTAGCCTCACAAAGTCGAAAGCAATATATAGGCAAAGTTTTGGTTCGGATTTTTTGTCAGCTTCATTAAAGATTACAAAATTTGATTCCTCTTTTTAATTTTTAAAATCGTTGTCAGTATATAAATACCACAAATATATCCTCTAATTGGAGGTAATATCTAAACAAAAAAGATTATAGAAAAGCTAATGAAATACCTTATGCTTCACTGGCCATTGTTTCCGAACCTCCAATCGTCGGATTGTCCACAGGCTTAATTTCTTCTGTCTCTAAATGTATTTTGCTTACTTTGAATATAACTTAACTCAAATTTTTTTCTCAGGTTGAAAATCAGCCTCAAAAATCCGAAGCAATGGATGATGATACTGATGGCACTGAACGACCGCCCACTACCCCTCAGACTTCAACTCTTCTCTCCACCCTAGCTACTGAGGAGCTTATTCGTAAATCTGCCACAGAAACTACTGCCACTGCCAGTAAAATGGATCTCGATCCTACTGATGACAACTTCTTCGCTGCTCTTGAAGAAGCTGTTGCAGATCAACCGGATAGTGGCGCCGCAGAATTCGCAGCAGAAAAGAAGGCCGTAGAAGAAGAGGAAGCCCCCGCAGACCTGGATACTTTCCTTCCCGGCTGGAATCGGTGGACTGGCCCGGGTATGGAAGCAATCGATGAAGCGATCCGCAAAAAGAAACTCATAAAAGCACCCAAGAGGAAGAGGTTGGATAAGGGCAGAGCGAAAGTTATTATTCGCGAGAGGGTGAATGAGGACCTGAAGAAACATCTTGTAAGTCGCTGAAACGATTTAAGTAGATCATTCCTCTCTAAGGGTTCACGTGTGCATGCATGTAAGCGATTGGTGGTACATTTCATGACTCATTTCCTGTCGTGAGGCTCTGAGGGACGGCAAGCATACATGTGTGTGTATTGGAGGCATGGTAGAAGACGTTTCTACGGTTTTAGCAGCATCCTTTTAACTTCTGAAGGTCTGTTTGCCATATTATAACGCATTGGGTAGGGTAATGTGTCTAGAACTGGGGATCAATGAAAATGACTGGTTCCTTGTTTTAAATGCAATTGCAATTGCAAAATAGATGATAACATTTTGTCAAGCCCCTTCAAGAGCAAAACAATTTCATGCTCCTTTCTCATTCTTTTTACCTCTGCAGGCTTAAATTACGTTGGAATTTTTGCAATTGAGAATGGATCATTGCGTTCTTTGAATCCTCATTTGCTACTTTTAATACATGCCTAAAGGCTTGTCCATTTGGAGTGGAGAAATTATAATATTTGGCCTACCAGTCTAGTTGGTCCCAAGGGATACCTGTGTTTAGATTTGAAACTTATGGCTGGAATCTCATACTAAGTAAATGTTAATACTAACTTAGGTTATAGTCATATAAACAGGATTGACGTTATTAGTTACAAATTCAATTAAGTAAAAGCAGAGTTAGTTTGAAATAGTGGTTTTGGTTGTGAGTTTCAGCTGAAATACCATTTTCTAATCATGAGCCATTTGAGACGCAAGATTTTTCCTAGCGTCAAACAAAATGGATCTAGATTGGAAAATATCTAATAACGGAACTGGAACTTGTTTCAAGCTGTCGGTCGCGAAAACCAGTCCGATTTCCCCCCCCCCCCCATCGTCTTGAAGTTTATTCAACCTTAGTGAACTTCTCGGACATCTAAAAATCGGCTTTTCAGGGCGTACTTTTTCTTTACTTTTTTCATCATTTGTTAAACGGTTTGCTCGATGTTACCAGTTTTTGTCGTTTACTTGAATTGAGTATGAAGGCCATATGGCACGATTTGTACAGTGGACTATGTTAGCTTTCAATGTAGCTTTTTTGCTGAGGCGATAAAAAGTATATTTTATTATGTAATTTTATTACCCAGCTGAATTGATACTTTAAATCATGGAATTAACTCGGCTATTCATGTTTGGCTACTAGCCTTAAAAACGTGATTGGGTTAAGCTCTCAATTATCATACGCCACTAGGCTGCCAGCTTTAACCTACCAAAAGTTAAAGGATTGGCGGGTAATTGAGGACATATTATTGGGTTAATTCATGCAAGGCCGTGCTCTGGGGGTTGGTTTGACATGATTGAATAGACGAACTGAGAAAAGTGTTTGTGCATATGCATTGCTTGCGAGCAAGCCTCAGCTGTCTTAGATGTTAGTTAGTTATGATTTTTTTATTGTTCATTTAGGTAAAGAAGATACCTTTCCCTTACTCAACTCCTGAACAATACGAAGCTGTAATGTCGCAACCAGTTTGTCGTGAGTGGACCACCGAGGCAGCTCATAAGGAACTCACCAAACCCAAGGTCATTGTCAAGGCCGGTCGGGTTATCAAGCCCATTGATAAAGACGTTGCTCTGTTGCGGGAGAAGGATGTGCGTCGGTTGGAAACTGGAAAGAAGAATGTTTAGTGTGAACTTATGTGTATGAACATTTATTAAGATTGTACATTTATTGTGAATAGAACACCTATAATCATATAACCTTGTGTCTCTTTAGTGAGAGGCTTAACCAACTTGATTGTTGTACAATGTGCATGTTCATTTATCAATACTCATCTGAAAAGCAAATGTTTACCTAAAGTAGGGGGGGGGGGATTGTATGTGATTTTTCGGTTATGGAGTTTGCTAATTCTTCTCATCGGGGATTCGAATCAACCTCGATCTCATTTGTAAGGATAGGATTCTTATATGTGGTGTTACGGACATCCAATTTTAAGTTATCGGAAATTCGACATTCCCATAGGTCATTGCATTGGAGTAACAGGAGTCCTGACGCTAGTTCAAAAAACCATTGCTTTCTTTAAGCAACGATGCACGTTTGAACACTCCGCATTCACCATTTTTACTCGAATTCCAAAAATTGGGGGGGGGGGTTTACGATGCGATAGGCAGGAATGAAGCCAAACGTGCCTGGAGGGGGTAGGGTTGGGCAAGAAACAAAAGAAATTCGGCATGCAAATCGGCACAGTAGGTCAACCTGATAAAACCAAGTTCGATAAAAGCTCTAATATGGAACTTTGCATGAAGTGATGACAGCCTTTTTTCTTCGGCATCTCTCTTTCACCTATTTTTTTCGGATTTAACAAGAACAGCTTTATTTCCTTACAAAAGTATCAGCTTTCCGAACTTGATCCTTCTCCCTGGGTATGGATCAGCATTAGTCTGGAGACGGTATGCGGTCTCCTAGTAACTCTGGTAACGAATGCTGTTTAGATAGTAATAATCAACCATTAATCTTGTATTATTGGGTGGGCAACTAAGTCATTGCCGTTTTTGTTGACAGATTCACTCTATACTTTGTTTTGTTAACGTGGCCAGAGCATCTAATCTATATTTTTTTCTTACTGTATGGGCTTCTAGGTTAATTAGTAAAAAATTTTTTTTTGTTTAGTTCTTTAGTTCTGTTTTTATCCCAATTTAAAAATGAAAGAACACGACGTGCACTTCCGACACATTTTATTGTATTACTTCCGAAAAGGCAAGACCGCATCGCAAGCACAAAAGAAGTTATGTGCCGTATATGGAGATGAAGCCTTAAAAGAAAGGCAGTGTCGAAATTGGTTTGAAAGATTTCGTTCTGGTGATTTTTCACTGAAAAATTCACAACGATCTGGCCGCCCAGTCGAAGTGGATGAAACCCATATCAAGGCCATTATCGATTCAAATGGTCACAGCACAACACGAGATATTGCAGAGAAGCTCAATGTGTCGCATACATGCATTGACAAAAAAATTAAAAACCCTTGGTTATGTCAAGAAACTTGATTTATGGATCCCTCACCAGTTAAAGGAAATTCATTTGACGCAACGGATTAGCATCTGTGATTCGCTACTGAAACGCAATGAGAATGATCCATTTCTGAAGAACCTAGTTACTGGCGACGAAAAGTGGATAGTTTATAACAATGTTACTCGCAAGAGATCATGGGTGAAGCAAGATCAACCAGCCCAAACAGTATCAAAAGCAGAGATTCAGCAAAAAAAGATTATGCTGTCAGTGTGGTGGGATCACAAAGGAATTTTGTATTTTGAACTCATGGCGCAGAACCAAACGATAAATTCAAATGTGTATGTTGAAGAACTCGAAAAACTGAAGGATGCAATTGAAGATAAGCGGCCGGCATTATCAAATCGGAAGGGTGTTGTTTTCCATCATGATAACGCAAGGCCCCACACATCTTTGGTTACTCGGCAAAAATTATTGGAACTGGGTTGGGATGTTTTGTCACACCCACCATATAGCCCTCACCTTGCGCCTTCGGATTACCATTTGTTTCGTTCCATGCAAAACTCTTTAACAACGCGGATGATGTCGGATCACACCTAATTGAGTTTTTTAATAGCAAAGACCAGACATTTTACGAACGGGGAATTTTTACTCTGTCAGAACGATGGAAAAAGGTTATCGACAAGAAGGGCCAATATCTAATTGAATAAAGTTCTTTTTTTAAACAAAAATTCCGAATTTGCCTTCTTATTTGAAATTGGCAATGACTTAGTTGCCCACCTAATATATATTGACTCAGAGAATTTGCCTTCTTATTTGAAATCGGCAATGACTTAGTTGTAACCTTATATATTATTAAGTACTTAAGTACCCGCACACATATAGATCACCTAATAGAATAAGGGAATAATGTCGAAGCCTGTTTAGGTGTGCTTCTTCAAACCCATTAAGTAATTACTGGCGCTATGGTGAACGACTCAAATACGGTTATTTTATACTTGCCAGATATGATCGCAGTGCGATTTACAATTCCAGTAAGTGAATTGAGTCAGTTATGTCTTTTCACAATTAAATTGGCGCAAAAAATAACTTTGGAAATTAATTGAAGTTCCACACAGAACACATTTCAGTGCAATTTGAAAGTAGTCTCCACATTCCTTAAATCATTGGGAGATTTATCGCCAGAACTTGATTCACATTACAATAACAAGCACAACTGAGGGACCATAAATTGCTTGCCTCTGATATTGGCCTCCAACTAAATTGATGCACGTTTGTATTTATCTTTGAACTGGTTATAGCCCTCAATTAACCCACTATTGATGTAATCAAAATTGTACTTCATTGTTTTATCTTTAATAATAATAATAATTTTTTTTTGCCTGAATTAGAGTTTCCGATCTTTAACATAAACAAAGAACTATTCCAAATACCAGACTTTCTGGGCAGTTATTTTGTTGAAACAAATTGTTACAAACAGGAAGGCGAGTAGTATCCTTTTCTGCAGATGGGGTTTTGGCTTTAAATTGCATTTTATCTCAATGTGAAAGATTTAACTATTAAAAAAACACACGATTGCAATCATTGTCTTGTTAGTCAGTTAAAGGAGGGGTGGGGAGTGGCAAATGAGAGGCTCTAATTTTTCGACAGGATCTTTGAGGAATAATTGAGTATTTCGTATTGCAAAACTAAAGGGAAATTGTCCAACTCTTGTTTTAATTTTACCCCTCGAGATCTCGCTAGTAATAGTCTTAAAATTAGAGTGATAACGGAGATGAGCAGAAGTTTCAGGATTCGAATAATGAACAGGATATTCCAAACTGTGCACATACCATAAACGGAGCTTTGAGCTCGTCGGATACCACAGCCGTTAATTTACATAGGAAGCATGCGATATAAGTACCAAAATGTCCACGGAAAAATCTTCCTGATGCTCATGCGCTTTCCAAGACGAGTTTCAGATTATGCCCCTTTTAAATTAACTTGAAGGCTATTTAAATGGAATGGGGACTATTGGATCATTACAAACAATGATAAAAATTTCATAGGGCTATGATTCGGAATGCTGACATTGAAGTCCTAGTTAGAATTCATTTGTAATTTATGAATTAGGAATAATGTATCATTTTGCAACTACAGCGGTCTTTTTATTACTTCCAGGGCAAAGTGAATTCACATTTTCTGAACTTGGGAAAGCATCTGAAAATGAGAAATAATAGAGCAGTAAATAGAACTTCATGGAATGGTGTGAGTGGTAGCTGGAAGCATCATCTGAGCTTCTAGAGGGTCTTGACTCGTTTGATCCTTTATTTCATGGTTTATAATTACTTACGATTCTAGGTTCCATCTAATGCTTCATGTTATAATTTTTGAATTTCAGAATTTATTTCATTAGTGTTAATCACGTTAATTAAATACAATGTTTCAATTAAAGCGGATTTTCCATCAATAGCGAAGCTACTGCCGGAAAGTGCAGTGTTTCTTCAGCAATAATCTTTTCAAATTTGCCTGGGTAAATACAATGGAATACTCGCTAAAAGTGTTCTCCAAGGTAAATTCTTTTAATTATACGCATGATCGGTAAAACTTAATTTTACTTTAAAATTCTAATGACATGAAATTTTTCGGATGCGTTAGCACATGACATTGCTTTCCACTTTTGCTTAATTAGATTTAACATTTTAGCTAAAACCAAGCGAGTGAATAAATTGAACCGAAAATTAACCACTAAAAATATCCCACCAAAGGAAATGAAGGAATTCATTTTCAATCTTGGAATTAATTGGCATCTTCAGAACCCACGTCTCTGCAAGATAAAGCCATTTTAGAGTCAGAGCAAGTCGAATAAAATTTAATCTCTCTATTGTCTTGACTATAGTCTTTATGCACTCAAAAAATGCAAATTTGCTCACGTGAGTTCCGGTTAAGACGTACGTTCTAACTGGGGCGCTTACCAATATAAAATCATCTTGAACTTTAAGTCAACTTGAGTAGAATTGGCGATATACAAATATGAATAAAAATCTCACTGCCAATAGTTCACACTTTGGCTTCACCTTCGGCAGGGCTTATTCCCTCTGTGAGTTTCGTGTTTTATGCCTATATTCGCTCAAATGAAGCAAAAAAGTCATGTAGAATTTCTAGCATTTTTCGAGAAGTTAAGAGAACTAACCATTTCTTTCCGCAGAATTTTTAGGAAATACTCTTCCTCCTAACCATTTTATGAGGATTATCAGAGTTTTACGATGAGATCTTCAGATATGCGAAAATGGTGAATCTTTATGACTGTCTCATGGAGATTTCTCGCAATTTTATAATGCGCAGACGTTAATTGCTGAAATTGATCTTTTATGAAAAGAGTAATTTGCCGAAACCTCTGTTTGGTTAAGGAGTTATATAGCTTTCGATCAAATAAATGTTTATAGAAGAGTTTTTTTCAGTTAAAGTTGGTATTTTCAGTTTTATTAATTGCTTCCGTTGTTGAAGATAGTATGTTAACTTAATAAACTCAACCAGGTAATTCAATTGTCATAAGCACATCTAATAATTGCAAAATTAAAGCTGTGATATTAAAGAACCTTAAATGATTTATTAAAATGTGTAACTTATTATTTTTTGCACCGATTTCAATTATTGCACTCTGTCTTAGAAATTAAGGCAATAAATTAGCTGAAAAAATTGA